GAGGAAAGGAAGGAGAAGAAAGGGGCCCCCCCTCCCGGTGCCGCCCGCGCCGGCCGGCCGCCCGCCGAAACGACGAGCGGGGCCGCCGGAGCCCGCCGCCGCTTCTCATAGGCGCCCAAAAGCCCCGCGAAAAAGGCCCCCGCTCGCGCCCGCCGGACGGACACGGGCGGCCGCGCTCGCGAGCGGTGAGACGAGGAAGGAAGGAGAGGCCCGCGGGGGAGGAGGAGGAGGAGCGCGGGGGGACCGAGACGGCGCTGGGGCGGCGCGGCTTCTGCGCCGCAGTCCTCGGAGCACCCCGGCCTGAGGGGAGCTGCTCCCCTCATCGGGGCGCGGGGATTATTGGGTCGCCCAAACGGGCGCTGACAAAAGGAAAACGGAGGTCGGGGGGAGGAAGATTCGGCGGAGGGATACGGCTACCTGAGAGCCTGACTGCGCAGGCGCAGAGCCTTGAAAAAGGGGGAGAGCCGAGGCGAAAGAGGGAGCCGCCATGTTCTGCCGACGCTTTTTTTTTCCCGCTCGAAAGGGGGAGGGGAGCGCTGAAGGGGAGCCTGCGCGCCTGCGCGTTGTGGGGTGCGCGAGAGGCGCCTGAAGTCTGAAGTTGTTGGAAGGCTTCGTGCCTCTGTTCCAGCAGGTGTGCAAAAAAGCGTGACCTTGGTGCGACCCCCACCATCCCTTCTAGGGTCTATTGGGGCGGTGACGGGATGAAGTGCAGGTCTTAAACCTTGCAACACCCCTGAAGCCCCCCTCCCGTCCAAATTAGCCTTGCCTACTCTTGACATTTGAAATTTCCACAGACTGCAGCAAACCTGATGAAGCCCTCAAGGTTGGGCTGCAGTCTGGTGCTTGTGGACCTTGGAAGCCAGCCCATGAGCTTAATGTGTCTGGATTGTGCTGAAAGGGAGAGGTTGAAGCTAAGAGAATGCATATAAAGAGGTGTCCTAACAATCAGCCTGGTATTATTAGTTTTTTATCCTGCCTTATTTTATATGCAGCTCAAGGCAGCAAACACCTAGTGATCCTGCCTCCTGTTTTCCCCACAACAACCCTGTGAGGTGGGTTGGGCTGAGAGAGAAGGACTGGCCCAAAGTCACCCTGCCAGCTTTAATGCCTAAGAGGGGCCTAGAACCCACAGTCGCCTGGTTTCTAGGCCAACCCCTTCACCACTACTCTAAACTGATACCTTTATATGCATTGGGCTATAATTCTCACAATCTTTAATCACTATGGAAATTATTGCAGGCTGTAAGCCAGATTCAGACAAATGGGATAGGATATCTTGGCTATTATGTTCATTCCAGGTCAAGAGATGTCTGTATATATAAAAGTCTTGTACTTTCAAGGCAAAACTTATTTCACTGTTTATCCACTTTGTTTTGCTATTTTCAGGAAGTGGTAGAAGTAATCATTTGTATTTACTTTTGCATCTCATTCCCATGTAAGTTTAAGCATTTGGCACATATGCATTGTTTTTATCATATCCCTGTTCCAATCTTGTATTCCTCTCCTAGCCACCTACGTTTCTGTTTCCTACCTATCATTCCTATCTAACGATCGATGCTATGACATCTGAAAACTTGCAGTATTTCTATCGGCACAAATTGTTGTGGTTAAATATATTGTTTGTATTAAAGCATCTTCTATTGCAGAAACTTGTCTTAGTAGAAGTAATGCTAGATTCAGTGTTAGGTACAACTATGCAATATGTAATTAAGGTAGGTTTAGCATGTTGTTGTATCAGTACAAGGTTTCAGACTGGAAACCTTTTCAGAAAGTCCATCTATGTGATGGTGATGCTCTGAGAAAAGGATATCCCCTGTGAATTAACAGCCAATAGAAACTGGGAGACTATGAGTTTTAGTCCTGGCTTAGACTCAAAGCCAGCTGGGTGACTTTGGGCCAGTTATTCTCTTTCTGAGGCCTAGAAAGAAGGAAATGGCCAGCCCCTTCTAAAAAAGGGTCCCCTAAAAACTGCAGAAACGTGTCCAGGTACTCACTGGGGGTCAATACTGACTTGAAAGCACAAAATTAGTATAACTGTATTCTAATGTGTGCTATTATATATAACCTAGGAAATCGCTCCATATTTGTCAGATACTGTGGTGCTACCTAGTTTTTGTTTTTTGTTTCAGGCAACTTATTACTTGTGACAAAACCGCGAAAACAGTTTGAAGATGAAAGGATGTTCATCTCTTTACATAGGAGGATACTGTATTTACTGATGGATCATTATGGATAAACTCCAAAGGCCATCCAATTAGTAGACAGAGCAATGGCTAACTTACCATGAAGATACCCAAGTAAGAAAACATATCCCATTACTTGATACAGGAAAACAACTTAGAGTTGACATAGTGGTTTATATGCAGAGGTTCTATGACTTACCGTGTGATCTGAGCTTCATCTAAGTCCTATCAATAGATAAAGAGATTCTGGTTAAACGAACAACATATGAAATAGTATACTGTGTCATGCCTTATTGAACTAGTATTCAGTCTTTGTTGGCAGAAGTATGTGAACCATGAGTAAGTTAAGTTACATGTTTCACTCAGTAAAGTTACAATCAGATATGGGCAAGGGGCATTCTTACTAATAAAGCCCACAGTTGCTAGTTGTCATCAGAGTCTGCTTTTTGTGGTACAAATTTGTGGAAGTAAATATGCCCCAATCCGAACAAAAAGGATTGTTGATGCTCATGAAGTTGGAAAGGGCTGAAAAACCATTGCCATTGGCCTTCATCAATCCTTGTTCAGGGATATGTAGCAGTGATTCAAACAAATGTTTTCAGTACCCATTGATGTTGCATAGATTTGGAGATATTTTAGGCCACTCCCCTTTACACAACAACTCATTGACATTTTTGCACTGTCTTGCATGAACTGCTTGCTTCAATGCTATATTTCAGTTGGGTTAAAGTCAGGTAGTGCCTCGGCTATTCAAAAATTGAAATTTCTGGTTTAAGCCATTTGTTGTAAATTTATTGTGTGTTTAGGAATGTTGTGCCACATTCCCACATGCTCATTTAACCTTCAGTTTCCAGATAGATATCCTGACATTCTGTACAATTTCCTGATATGCTCCAGAATCAATTGCAGAGATCACTGTACAGGTAGTCCCCAGTTTAAGAATGAGTTCTGTTCCCAAGGTCTGTTCTTAAGTTGAATTTGTATGTAAGCCAGAACAGTGTTATTGTATAATACTGTATT